ATCCAGGAAGTTAGAGGGTAATAAAAAAACAAAAGAAAAATTATAAGGAAAACAAGAAAAGTTAATAAAGGTAAATTCAATATTAATTAATTGGCATACTGAAAAGTAGCAGAACTGACAAATAAATCAAAAAATGGGTCATAATAAACAGAAAAAAAACTGGCAGGTAAAAGACCAAAGGGAAAAGCACACAAATATTCAAAATTAAAAATTATTTATATTTCAGGAATTCTATAGAAGATTTAAAATAAGGGATACTGTATATCAATGCTAACATTTTAAAGTCCCAATACATTTAATTCTCAAGGAAAAATATTTTATAGCAAAAGAGATCTAAAGAGAGAAGAAAATTTAAAAAAAAAAATTCCATGGGAAAGAAAGAACAAGAAAAAAAGAGACTAGAAGGAAAAAATGGAAACAAAGCTTTTATAAATAAAGAGGGAAAGGAGGGTTGAAGGAAAGGCATGGGAAAAAAAGAAGCAAGATAAATTGTGTGCAGCTACAAATTCCCTAAGATAAATGTTATCGAAATTATGAGTGTTATGTATATCAAAAATGTACCAATAAATGCTTTGCAAAAAAAAAAACTCTAGGCCTAAAGGTCTTATAAGTATATTCTTCATAATTTCAAGAAATAAATAATTCACATATTCTCTATTTAACATTTAATGGTCTCCAAAAAATGAAGAATTGTCTAATTTCACTGTAAACTCTGGAACTAAAAATAAAGAAAGATATTAAAAAATAAAGAAAAACCAAATTAATTTTATTTATAATTATAAATGCAAGAATAACAATGTAATATAAGGAAATAAAATTAAGCAGTGCATTAAAAGAAGACTATTCCATGATGAATCACATGTATTTGAATAATAAATTCAAAAAACAATACCAATAAGGTATACCATAAAAAGGAAATTTCTCACAGAAACTTATAATAGACTAAAATATTTTAAAATAATAAATAGCTTAAATCAATAGTCAACAAAATACTGTGAAATATTAAAGACAATACCATACCATAAATTTAAAACTGAGCTAAAATATTTGCTCTTACTTCTAGTACTATTTGTGATATTTTAGGTCTTGTATTAAGAGTAGAGGAGGACAAAGAAACACACACATCAACTGCAACATGACTAGACCTACTACTCTGAATAATTTGAAAAATTATAAATAAAATGGAAAAATAAATAAGCAAAATGCACTAACATCTCTAAAACATTAACAAAAGGTAAACATAAATAGTATGCTCACAAGGGCAAGCAAAAATATTATAAAGAAAACACCCAAGGAAATGTGTAGAATCTGGTCCTTTTTTTAAAAAGTAAATATTGTTGAGTAACATATAAGAATTGAATAAATAATTTTGAATGGAAATGCTCAATGTTATAAAGATGTCAGTTTACCAGATAGTTTTATGTAAAAATAATCTCTAAAATATCACTTTGGAATTTTAACTTACAATTGATAAAATAAATTAAGATAACCTTTAGAAAAGTATAAAAATACCTTAAATTTAAAATTATGAAAGGTATTATAAAGTGATGACTAATATTGCATAGTATAAATAAAAGTTTAAAGAGATAAAAATAAATAGAATAGACTCAAACTGAGAAATGGTTCTAAATTCATAATCAGAGTATAATAAAAGCCACTACTATATGTGAGAGGGAATAAGACGCATTTAATAATCAATACAGAGATATTTGGTAAACTACTGAGAAAAAAATTAACATGTCACATTGACATTATATATCAAAATATATTCAAGAGAAATTATAGAAGGTTAAATATTTTAAAATATTCTATGAAATTGAAAGAAAATACAATAGAATATTCTCTAACTTCAGAATAGGAAAGGTCTTTCTAAACAAACTCCCACAGAAAGCTTTTAGAAAATGATGGAAAGACTGACAATAAGACCATAAAATAAAATGAATGACAAACTTTAATACCATTAATATATATATAACAAGTTTTTGTAAGCCAGTAAAAACTAGTCATTTAAAAGAAAAAGCAAAATGGATAACCAAAATAGTTCCCAAAGGAAGAGACATTTAACAGCAAATAAATTTCTGTAAAATCTTCATTCTCACAAATAATCCAAAAATATTCAGATTTAGTCCGCAATGATAAGTTGTTTCTCCTCTGTCAAAATGGAAAGAAATTTTTAAAGGAACAGTCACTACAGAGAGCAAAAGGCTAAGCATTTGCAGATACTGCCGGAGAGAACATAAAACACTGTACTCTTCCTGTAGGATAAGGGACAGTAGAAATCAAGTCTTTAAAAAAAAAAAAAATACTCTTTGGCCCAGGAACTTCACTTTTAAGAATTTATTTTAAGAAGATAAAAACTAATAAACTGAAAAGTTCTCATAAGATGTTCTCTGTGTTCAAGGTGCTTTTAATTCTGATCTAAATGTTGAATAAAAGGCTCAATTACATGATGAAAGTCTCACTTTATACCATGTTTTCTGTGAATAAAAATATTCCAGAAGATTACATAATCACAAGGAAATTTATAATATAGCATGAAGGGAGCAAACAGACTACAAAAGAATAGAAAATGCATGATACTAAGATATGGGAAAAAAATGAACATACATATACTAAGTTAAAAAGGACATATGACATGACACAGCTAGAATTAAAGTGCAATTCTTTTCTGGGTTTTCAGCTGTTTCTCACAAATGTATATGTGTGAATTTTTAATCAGGGAAAAATAAAACCTATTATAATACACAGTGTTGGGATATAATATTAAATACTGATTACCCACACACTATATATTCCTCAAAGATATAATTTAGATCAATTTAAAATTTCAGAAAAATGATAATGAGTTCATCTGGATAATAACTGACCTGATCTGACCTAGAATAAAAATTTATATTGAGTTTCAGCAATAATTAAATCAAACTATTTGAATACTACTTTAAATTCTTTTTCATTTTAGGTTAATATATTATTGGTATGATTTATATGCAATGTATTTAGTGACAAAATATTAAAATGTAAGAAGAGGCAACATTTGTACAACAAATAAAAATGAGAATATTCAGTGAGAATATTATTTTTTATGCTTATAAAACTCAGAATAGCACATAAATGAAAGTTCATACATCCCCAGAAAGAATCCAGGGAAAAAAGTCAAAGAATTTGAAAAGCCTAATTTTGTATGTGTTTCACTTTTGAAGTTTATACATTTTGAGTGTCTAAGACTTGTACTTTTTCATTTTAAATTTAGAACTAGAAGTAAAGAAAAATAAAGTGTACGAAGAAAAGATACCCCATTGTATAAAACTCGATGTTGAGTCGTAACATAAAATGTTAGCTTCCACATTACTAAGAGAAAACAAGACCCCCATCACTCATGCTGGCAAAAGCTTGCCTTTGCATAAACCATTTCTGTTCTCACTGTTATAAAACCAGTGACTTTGGAAAGGGAAGAAAACACAGAATGACGTGCAAAGTAGCACACCCCATGTTATTGCAGCTGGATAGAGAATATGTCACTAATGACTTTCTTTCAGCCTGTCAGTTATAAGTTGAATTTCTCTTTTTTCCAAAATAGCACATGGCCTTCAAAAGCAAAAAACAGAAGCAGTGAAATGCAAAACAATATTCAATTTCCACTTGATTTTGATACTGTATTAGTTAATGGAAGGAGTTACTAATTATTCATTGGAAGAAATGACTTCCTTTTGTTTTCATTTGAGTTGAACATAAGATGCTTGAACATTAGGCAATTTTCTGTAGTAAATCCAAAATAACAATTTCATCAGATACTTATTGCCAAATTGTCATCTTAGCTGAGATATTACCCACAATCAACATGAAGATTCCACTAAAGTTGCTAAATGAATTCAAAACCTAATAAAATTAAGTTTGCAAATTGTTAGTGCAAATCAAAATTATGACTATTTGTCTATGAAGGATGACTGAGTGAATGAATGACCACGAATTTTAATCATGAAACAAAAAACTAGGTACACAGTACTTCATCTCCACAAATAAATCAATAACCATTTTGTTAGGCAAGTAAGACACTTCAGCTAATAGTGCAATTTAATACTGGAATAGATTGGGATTAATTATATTTTAAGATATTTAAAATAATAACATTGGGCCGGGGATTTAGCTCAGTGGTTTGGTGGCCTGCCTTGCAAGCGCAAGGACCCGAGTTCAATCCCCGGTACCAAAAATAAAATAAAATAAAATAAAATAATAACATCAAGCACAGATATTAAAAAATTAGGATATTAATTCTCATCTGAGTCACAGATCATGAAATGCTAAATCTTATGAAATCTCTTTGAGATTAATCAATGTTCCTCTGGGCATATTAACAACCACCAAAACTTATACTAATGGGTACTTTCATAAGTGTCATCAGGTACTGTGGATCCAAGAGGTTTGAATGTATTAACTCATTTGGTGAGCCTATAAAATAAGTATGTTATCACTTTCATTTTAGAGATAATAAATAAGAAATGTACAAAAACCCAGTAGTTTTTCTAAAGCTATTCATCTAATAAGTGACAAAGTCTGAGGTACCCAGGACTCAGAATTTGCCCATAAATCACAGTGTACAGCACATTTTATATGCTTTTTATTAAAAGGTAGTACAGGAAGCTCTTTTAATCTGAAGAAATGCAATTAATAATTTGGACCTATAAATTAAGCTATTATGATTTTAATAGGATGAACTAAGAATATCTTTAACTTAAATTGTTCTTCATTTTTTTTTCTCATGCTTTAAGTAAACCCAGAGGCAATATAGCCTATAAGCTATATATGTATGGATTCATATCAATGGTGGGCAGATATTCATTCTGTAAATATTATAAAGAATAAAATTTCAGAGACATATAATGGATTTATTCTCTAATCTATAATTGAGTGTTTGAGGTAAGAATTTAGTGTTACAGAAGATCAGCAAATAGGTCATTATACAAAATAATATCTGCGCATATTCATTAGTTATTATATTGTACCTTTAATTTCTCCAAGAAGTTCACTTGTATTTAGTCTTTCCATTTTTTCCTTCCAATCTTTTGAAAGTAGTTTTTCCATGCAGGAGGAATCTATTAAAATACAAAAATAAGTATTATGAATATTTGTATATTACAAATTCAGAAGGCCAATCTGTGGAGAAAATCCTTCACTTAAAAATGTACACTTTGTAAATAAGGAAGGGTGGAGTGGGTGAAGGGAGGGCAGGGGTATGGGAAAAAAATAAGAACCAAGATATATCACGTAAAGGTACAAGATCCCAAAGATGAATGTAGCTAGTGTATACCTAAAAAGTACCAATAAATGATGAAAAAAAGAAAAAAATTAAAACGTACAAAGCTATTTTTGTACATTACACAATTACATTACTCTCTCAATTAGAAAATACCCCAATTGAGTTTGTTTTTTTCCAGAAGATGACTTAAACTGTTGCCCTGGAGAGCATACAATAATGCTCAATAATCTTTTCTTAGTATACCAATTCTATCACTTTTTAATTGTCATTTATCATTTTTGGAAACTGATAGGACTGAAAAGAGGGATCTTTCCTATGGGCTTACGTTTAAATGATACTAATTTTAATCCAGATGATATTTTAAATCCAAGAAAAATCCATGTTCTGTGCAAGGAACAATAACAGATCTCCAAGGAAGAAGAGGACAATCAACCTGTAATCACTTAGTGTTTAAAAAGAAAAATAGCTTTTATAAAATACTTCTTTAGAGCAAAGAAGGAAAAAAAATTAAGTCAAGATGCTTTCTGTGCCTTAGTAATGAAAACTACTAAAACTTTTCACAAAAAGTTAGACATACCTTTTTAAATAAAATATCTATTTAAATATTATTTTCCCTGCTGCACTTATAAGTAATAAATACCTCAGTGCATTTATAAGATTATAGGAAGAAATTACATGTGTTTTTATAAAGATTTATAAATGTTACAAAAATCCAAACTTTAGAATGTCCTTAGAACCACCAGCATTTTCTCCTTGAGTTAGTTTTTCTCTCTATTTAGATAATTTTTCAAGTGGAGCTACTGCTTATAACTATTTGCTTGTACCTTCTAAGCCACAAATCTTAACAAATAGGCCATATTTCTAAAAGGGAATGGAGATTTAAATACTAAATCCTTATCTCAAAGCATACTCTTGTTAAACTTTAACATTCCAAGTGTCAAAAGACTGATAACTTTCTTTTAAATTTTTATTTAAAATGGTTATTCCATTTCCAAGTGCCCTTTCTCTCCCATATCAGCAGCTATCTCTCGCATTTTCCCCTTCATTTTGTTTCTCTAGCTTCTAAATTCTCCTTGAACTTTTCAGGATGACAGTTCAAGATGGTTCTGAAGGGCTTTAGAAGCTAGATAAACTTTAGAAAAAGGCAGTGATCCCTACTTAAAAGATGAGAAGACCATTGCATGGTTAGAAAGTATTGGTGAAAAACAATTAACATTTATCCATGACACAATCTATCGAGGAATGGATGGAATCCAGATCAGTAAGACCCAAAAAGGCTGATGAAGACCAACTATATTAGCTGTCTATCTAAGCTGTAGTTACTTCATTTTATCAAGTGAAAAGTTCTCTGGCCTTCTTTCCGGTCCTTTCTTTCTTCTTTCCTTCCTTCCTGCCTAATATTTTCCTAGGCTTTAACAAGTGACCAAAATGGATTCTGAATATGCTTCCAATAGGCATACATATACATGTTCAGGTTGTATTTATTTGCCATAATGGTCTGGTATTATTCATCTCACATTCAGAAATGAAACACATATTTTGTGCTATCCCTAACTGCGTTATACTAAAATCATAAAATAGTAAAACCAAGTTTAAGGGTTAAGAAGCAAATCTTCAAAGCCATGCTTGTCACAGATTAATTTTTCTCAAATTAGTTTTGAATTTCTGAGAAACACCGATATAATATTAGATTACGGATAAGAAAATTTACTGAAAAACTTGATTTTCATATCCTATCTACTTGGATTATAAATTTTTAACCTTTTGTAAATGTTATAGCATGTTTTCTGACCCAAAAGTAAAACATAAATTGGTTAAATTTTGATCTGAGAACATATTTTGAAATAATCAAACCCAAAAGCTCAATTTACTAGCAATGCACAAATTCAGTACAAGTCCATATACTAGGATTAATACTAGATGTAAAACATAATACTTTACATAATACTAGATGTAAAACAGATCAAAATATGTCTCTCATTTCTATAAATAGACAAAATGTTTCAGAGTTCCAAGGAAAGAATGCTGAAACTTCGTGGGAGAAAAACAGAACTATACGGACAACAAAAACACACACTGCATATATAAATAAACTATGTGGACACTGCTTTACTCAAAAGCATCTCGCTAATAAAATTGTTCATAACTTTGAAGCATTTTATATTCTATTAAAAAGTAAACTTTTCCTATAATGTTAAGTTAATCTAGCTGCATGAGTTCCCAACTCATAGAACACACTGAGGGAAAAATAAACTAGTCTTTGCCTGTCTACATTTACCACCATGAAAGTATTTCATTACAACCACTGACTGTATTTATCTTAACGACAATAAAAACCACCACATACAATCTTGTCAACATTTAATCTTAATTGTAGGAGATTCCAGGAAGACTCAAAACTGTAAGAAAGCTTATTGAAAAGCTCAGCTTTCTCCCCTAATTATCCGACTGGCAAACTTCTAAGAGCATACTACAGTTAGTGGTGAGCACTCTCTGCACTATACCGTAAAGTCGACAAGATGAGGGGGGAAAGACCAGAAGAAGCAGATTGTTACCAAGCAATGTGTGGGCAAAGGACATCTCTGTCCCCAGTAAAGTCTTCCTTATTTGAAATGATGAAGCACAGAACAGACAAAAAATTACAAAAGGCATTTTATATTTTAAATTTTCTTGTTCCTTTAAGGAATGTACAAGTTTACACTTAATATCAAGGTATTGATAATATCAAGGCACAAATTAAAAGGATTCCTCCCCGTAAGCCACATCCTTCAGCCACACTATAGGATACTAGCTTTAAAGATGCAATTGATCTGATCAGACTTTGCTCTATTCTGATCTAGCACAATTGCAAAACAAAGAGGAAAAAATAACTAAAGTCCAGTTTGCATTATGCACATGGAAAAAGTCCAAGCAAGGCTTTAACACAGTGGTCGCAGATGATTCCAAACAGAAAAAAAATAGTTATTCAGGTATAGTGACACACACCTGTACGTAATTCCAGTATCAAGAGGCTGAGGCAGGAGGACTGCAGCAAGTTCCAGGTCAGCTCAGGCTAATAGTGATTCCAAGGCCAGTCTGAACTACATAGTGAGACCCTGTCCCTCTTCCCCCACAAAAAAAGAAAAGGAATGAATATCCCACAGATACTCCTAAATTATGTTGTACACACAAATATGTCTTATTTGATTAATCTGAAAACAACCATTATAGTTTTACTGATGCCAAAGGCTTCAAAATGAAGAAAAATACACAGTACATTTAATTACCTAAATTGACCTGTTTTGTGAATATGAGTTGTTTTCACCTGAGACACAAGAAAGGAACTATATGAGCTTTGAAAATTGAGATAAAGAACTAAAAAATCATACAACAAAATGTTACAAAATATACATATATTAAAATAAGTTTAAGTAATGATGTTTTCATATTAAACAGAGTGTCATAAAATGTCAAAATTGATTCCTCTTATTTTGAAAAATGTGTTACATTGACCAATATGTATCTTCGCAATGAAATGCAGGAATTTATATTTACCTTGCCTAATTTTTATAAATAGTAGAGTAAAACAAGACTGCCATAAATCTAAAATTCGGTTTCAGTTCTCTTCTATATTTTAAGCAAGGTTGTAAAGCTTTAATGTGTTGCAATTAATTCTCATTTGCATATAGTTTGAGTTTCTTTTGTTTCCTTTCAAAAGCAATTGAGAAACTAAGGAAAGATAAAATCAAGGGTGATTTTTTAAATATACACTGCATACCAAATTATGAAGAACAATTTCTGCTTCCTAAAGTATTTCTAGATTTCAGGTCAGGTAGTCAAAAATGCTTTTTCATGGCTTAGTAATATTTTTGCTTGCAAATAATTACTTTTATGGTAAAAGAAAAATGTAAAGTGAGAGAATATGAGATGTTTACTTTCTCATCGCTATGGTGATAATTTAGAGACAATTTTAAATTCCTCATGATTAATCAACAATTCGGCAACATTAATTCCTATTCTGTAAAAAAATCTCTTATAAATAAAAGACAGTACATAAATCATAATTAATATTAAAGCATGGGGAAGAGGAAAGCGTAATGAGACACATGTTCATTGTTCCTGAAAACAATTACTTGGAAGTAAACATTTATTCTTCCTTTCACTTCAAAGTGATATCTAGAGTCAACAATGCTAAAACATTAGAAATATGAACAATAGCTTTTGAATATTTTATCAAGAAAAAACAATGTCATAATTCCTTTTGTTTTATTAACTCTTTTAAGAAAGGTGATTTCATTTATTTTTACTAGAGAAAACACAAATTTCAAATGCATTAAATTTTCTTTGTACTCGAGAACAATGACAGCTGGTTAGGAGTGCCCAAGACTTTGGTTTACAGCTAAATACAACAGTACATATTAACCCCCACTGACCATCCATCCCACATTTTTTATTAGGAAACAGAGATGCACATGCCAGTTACTGTACATTTTTCCACAGTGGCAAGTGCTCCACAATACAGTGGGATAAAATTGGAGCTTGGAGAGCTTGAAGAGCACTCTTAAATTTTAATTAAAACCCTCCAAGCTCACTAAAAATAATTAGACACTGAAATGTGCCAGTTTTATTTTGAAGTCACTATAACGTCCAAAACACGCTCCCTGACGACTACTTGTTATCTCTCTCCTCTCTCCTCTTTCTTCCGTTCTCATTTCTCTTTTCTCCTCTCTCCTCTCTCCTCTCTCCTCTCTTCTTCTCTCTCTCTCCCTCCCTCCCTCGCCCAAATAAGAAGAAGGGAGTATAAATAGAGGCTGTTTTCAGGCCTGCTACTCATGCTGAAAGCTGACAAAAAGGAAA